GCAGCTTGTATAGGGCTGTTGGATACTCTCTTTATATTATGTACTCTTGATATTATACATGTACATTTACTATTGTATTACATGTACATATACATTGTTAACATTTAAATATCAATTCTCTCTCCCTATCAGCTAACATACCATGTCATTATCAGATGATGATATTTTGTTCAATGTCTTCTGATAGGCTTTCACTATTTCATTAGTTACTTCATCATCAGGGGGTTCCCCTGCCTCTAGCTTCTTGTAAGCTCTTTCAAGTTGAGTCTCCTTCTCACTTACCACTTGACTCAGGTGAAGTGCCAACGCCTATAAATTAATATACATGTACATGTACAACATTAAATACATGTATAAATAAATTAGACCAAGGTTTCCTACACAAATGTAGCTAAACAGCATGAGCTTCATGAGCTGACAAGCAGTAAAGTGTAATAACATAGATACCGTATAGCGGGTTTTTTTCAAGGATAATAAATTTCACGAATGACCTGTATCCGGAAGTTCACGGAATTAATTTTCGCGAATTTCCACTAATCTGCCATCTTGTACTGTATTAAATTATTTTCAAGGAATTTAATTTCGTGAATCGTGAAAAAATCCGCAAAATTCGCAAAATTTGTTATCCTTGAAAAAAACACGCTATACGGTAATGCTTTTGGAGTAGCTTTAAAACTTGAATTTTGATGGCAATCCAGCTGTTTCAATAGTGACTTCATGAATATTATTAATATTAACTGCTATAATTTAGAGTATGTTTTTCTCTCTCCTTTCTCCTTCTCCCTCCTCACTTGTTGTACTGATAGTTCTGATATATTTGACCTTATCTTCTTAGTCAGTTCCCTCAGTTTGGACTGATAGTGATTCCCTTTTGTTCCAACCTGGAATGTAGTTTCTTTCCTTGCTTCTACTTTCTTTTGTGTTCTGCCTAGCAACCTCTGGATCTGTTCCATTAGCAGCTCCTTCTCTAGCAGTTGATGTTCACGCTCAGATAGTTGATCCTAAAATAAATACATTAGGATATGATATTAAATGTTTATGTACTCTAGTAGATATATATTGATGTCCTTATGCTGTGTAGAAAGTTTGAGCTAATTCCAACTTAAATTTTTCAAGTTACGGCTATTTTTAAAAATTGGCCAAAATCTGAAAAACACCCTGTACTATAGCCCATGGTTTTTTCCAAAAAATGGCTCCAAAATAACCCCAAATTTTTATCACATTTTCTAATACATATTGATGTCCTTATGCTGTGTAGAAAGTTTGAGCTGATTCCAACTAAAACTTTTCAAGTTACAACCTTTTTGAAGCATAAATTAAAAGGAACATTGTTAATGTACATCGTGTACTATAAGCATACTTCAGTACATGTACATGTACTACCTGAAGCTTCTGTACTCTTTCTCTTAGTTCCTTACAGGATGGATCCTTTCCTGCTAATAGTCTAACCCTCTCTGGGTTCCTGGCATCACACATCTCCTCCTCCAAACACTTCAATGACTCCTTTGTTGATAATAACTGCAAGAAATAGTGCAATGATAGGACATAAGTAAAAACATTACAAAATAAAATATAGCATGCACGTACATGTACATGTACAGCTGTAACTTTGTAAATTATGATGAATTACTAAAATTTTAGTGATTGGCAGTGGCATGTGCATCATGGCATATTTACATGTATATTATTTTGGACACTCACAGCTAGAAATCCCTTTTAATTACATGTAGATTAACATGTACATGCATGGTATTGTGTTAATTAAAATATGTACATGTATAACTATCATCTACCATTTAGGTACATGTAGTGTATGTACATGTACATCCATCTTAATTAATTTAAAATTGCACCTGTAATTTTATTAACCTTTCACATGAAATGAGTTATTTTTGATCATTCATATTGCATGTAATATTCATATTACAATGCAATATTGCATTAAACCATTAAGTTCCAGTATAAATGTTATTTAGACAATACACATGTATATTTGTACACGCGTGTACATGTATATGTATATTGTGTTTCGTTACCATGTTCTGGTGTAGTGTTAGTTCTCTCTCCAGTTCTTCTTTCTCTGGTAACTGATCACGATTAATCTTAATCTCTCTCTGGAGTCTAGCAAGCTGAGAGAGACAAGAAAAATAGATAAAGAAAAGTCTTATAATATTATGATTGCTGTTGGTATAGTACCTCCATTTTAAGGAACTGCACTTCTTCCTCTTTTTCAGCTAGCTTAGCAATCCCCTGCTGTGTTATTGTAGCTAAAAAATAAAATAAAAAATCATGTAATTATTATTACTGTACTGTACACATAGTCACATGCATGTACATGTAGCAACAAGCAAAGAAGCATATGTACATGTACATGTACATGTACATGTTCTTGTACCTTGTACATTAATCTTCTCATGGAAGACACAGACTTCTTCATTCCTCTCTATTAGCTGGAGTCCAGTGTCATTCCTGCTCTGAACCACTTGCTCATAATACTGACAAAGCTACAAATGTACAATAAATGAAAACACTTAATAAATAAATAATAATATTAATAAATAGAATAATAAATGATTAATAAATAATCAATAGATTAATAATAAATTAATAAATAGAATATAAATATAGACTTAAGGTGGGTTCACACTATTACGCTAATCCTTACTTAATTACATTTACATGTACATTGACATGTAAAACATGCACAAAAAGTCAATCAAATCACCCACACTTTTAATTAAAAATTAATGGTGTGCTGGCCTAGCATCATATTGTACATGTACATGTACATGTATTTTTTACCATGGTGTAATGTTAGTTCTCTCTCCAGTTCTTCTTTCTCTGGTAACTGATCACGATTAATCTTAATCTCTCTCTTGAGTCTAGCATATTTTAAGTAAACTGCAACAATGCAATTACTGCAATGATCCATAAAATAAATTATAGGTGTGGTCAGCACTTTGCAGACAAGTAAATAAAAACATTAAAAATTGAAAAGTAGTAGGATTAGATTGGAAAAAAGTAAAGAAACAAGAGGGTACTTGCAAACTGGTGTGATAAGAAATCCTACACCAATGCATGAAGAATATTATCCAAAAGCATTGTAATATAGAGTCATGATCATGTTCATTATTTGTTCTTATTATCTTTAGATGTTTCATAGTGACCATATCCTCAGGACTCATTGCATCATTTCTTAATTTATTATTAATTATTATTTCATTTATTTACAACTCTGTGTTGGTATCTATGCATGACCTTATCATACCGAGGGCCTACGGCGGCCCTCGGTATGATAAATGCCATAGATACCTCACCTCATTGTATATCTTTTACATAGATACTATCTTGGTGTATATAGGATCTATGATTTAAAAGAGACAGATAGTTTAGTTGCTCTTGCTTTCCCCAGTGCTGCCTGAAAATTTTTCAAAGAGGCTAAATCAAACTTTGAGCAACTGTACTGAGCTCGCAAACAAAAAAGAGATTAGAAAATTCCCACATATTTTTTAATCTAGGTACTTTTCTCTACCTATCAATGCTAATCTTGACCAAATAGAGTGAAACACAAAGATTTGGCTATAGGAAAAGTGGTTTGTTCTTGAAAATATTCAGACTTTTGCTACCATGGATTGGCTCAAAAACAACGGAGCTAAATAAATTACCTTTTATGACAACATACCGTAACTGTATAGTATCCGCCTACGCAAGTGTGGCGACTGGCGAGTCCAAAAAATTCCTAGTATGTACATGAAGTCATGAACACAGATTTGTACTACAAGTACAAATATGAAAATTCTAAGAAAAATTTTGATTATGCATGTACAGCTGCACTTGTATCCTGTACATGTCTTCCTAAAATTGTGATTTGTTCAAGTACATGCACAAATTTGAAAAATTCAATCCCCACACCTGTTTACATAAACCATATCTATGCATAAACCCCCACATGAATTAAGCAAAGCAGATACAATCACAATGTCACTATAACTAACTCTCCTTCTCTCCCCCTCTCTCTCTCCTCCTATATTGTAATTGAGGCATAATCCTTTTCTTTAATAATTGTTATTAATAAACCACATTATGCATACACACACACATACACAGTAATATTGAGGTTATGCACACTCATGACTAACCATATACCAGTAGAGCATTTATTCAATGTACAGTCATATAATGATAGAGTATGTCTGTGATTGTACACATAATGACTTATCATGTAAGTATGATTACCATGCAGTCCATAGTAAAGATGAGAGAATGGAGTAGGAGAGATATAGACTAAGAGAAACTGATTGAGTGAAGCAGATACTGACAAAGCAATAGCTGCACTACAAGTATGAGACTATATTATGTCAATTAATATTTCTTTAATTACCTCATCTTCTCTTCAAGGAATTTTATTAGATCATAAATTAAAGAATTAGTATAGATGATTAAAAATCCCATTTATAAAAAGTATAAATTTAGATGTTATCACAACTATGCATCAGATTTCCATATTTGGAGAACAAGAAGCCTATGTAAGTCATCACTCACAGCCTGCAAGTATACACTAGTCAGTCAGTACAGACAGTAGCTATGTCTCTCCTGTTAGTGGTTGTTCTCTTATTCTTCAGTAGCTCCTGCAGTGTCTCTTCTGGTCAGTATTATGTGTCTGATGACTGCAGTTCAGTTACTCAGTCACCTTGTAATCCTTTATCAGTGTATGCTGGGAATATGTCTCAATACAATAACACCATCTTCTACTTCATTGGAACTAGTGTCATTAACTTTAATGTCACAATGGACTCAGTACAGAATATAACTCTACATGGACTGGACCAGTCTCCTGCTTTTAATTGCTCAAATGTGTTTATAGCAATCAATACCAGCAGTCATGTCAGTTTCAGTAACATATCATTCCAACAATGCAACATAGATTTTCAATTTTCAAGTAACATCACAATTACTGGTTCTATTTTTCAAAACCCCATAAATTTCAGCCTCCTCAATACTTTTGATAGTAAGATAACATCTTCAGCTTTTGATAATGTTACTGAAGCTCTACTTATTTACTATTATCCACCTCCAGTGTGTTACAATGAATTACACCATTACTCATTAACACTGACTAATGTTACTGTGACTAATGGCTACTTAGTGTTGAATATGTTTCATGGTACCTCATATAATATATCAGTTACCCTAAATATCATCAATTCCAATTATGGTATTTTTCATTATTATGTTGAATCTCTTTTTTCTCTGTATATTACTAAATTATCATGGGGAAGATTTACTTCTGTATTTTTCTCAAATTGGTTGCAACTTGACTTTGATATGCATTCACTTTCACTGCCATCAAAATATTGCAATATTAAAAGTGTTGAATCACAATCTACTATTGTAATTGAAGACTCCCAATTTCTCAAAACTAGATATGGATTATCTTTAGCTATATTTAGAGATTACTTTCAAATAAGTAATTATCATATTGCTATTACTGTTAAGTCATGTTCAATACGTGACAATGATTATGGTTTATCCATTAGTGGAAGTTTATCAACATCAACTCATATCAGTGTTATAAATACTGAACTTGTTCGAAACAGAAAAAATACAATAGTAGGGTGTCGTTCTATCATTCTTAATAACGTTACTGTTACAAATAGTCCATCAACAGGGCTGGTGATTATATCCTCTGTAGTAACTGTAGAAAATAGATTAGTATTTAAGAATAATACTGGAGTAGTTGGAGGAGGAATGGCAATAAATGGTTCATCTGTAGTGGCCCTATCACCATCAGCTAACTTGGAGTTTATTGATAATCATGCAACTTATAAAGGAGGAGGAATTTATATTGATAAGGAAATACAAAATGAAATTGACTTGATTTCTTTTTTATATGATTTTACTACACCTCTTAAGAGGTATTATGCCTTTACATTTGAAGGCAATACTGCTGGAGTGGCTGGAAATGATATATATGGAGTTGATTCTGCATTGGAATATTTTGCTGCCTCAGCATTGGCAAGTCTTTCAACATCAAGTGATGCAAGTGCATTTGCTCTTTGTGATCCTGACAGTAATGAAACCACACCAATATGATATGATGAACAACAAAGTGTTTTTCCAGGTCAATCACTGAAATATAATGTTGCTTTATTTGGACGCACTTTTGATACAAACTCATATAGTCTTACTGATGGAAGAATAACAATAGAAATTAACAGAACATTGGTGACAGATAAATACATTAATAATTGTTCACTGATTCACTACACACCAAAATATATCAACCATTATGGAGAACACAACGTTACACTCAGTGTCACTACTGATACATCATATAGTGCTAAGTTGGGTGTTTCATTTATTCTTAATGAGTGTCCTATTAGTTTCAGTGTAAACAGTTTAGGTCTTTGTGATTGCAGTGTTTCAAAAGAGAATGTGACATGTGATATAAATACCCTACACATTACACACAATGGTCTACTGTGGATTGGAAAATATCATACCAGTACACCTTTCAATGCTAATGAAACCAATCCTAATGCATGCATTATCAATGAGGACTGTCTCCTCTATTGTTCTCCTAATTCTGTTACCTTTCAGTTGAATGACACTGATACTCAATGTGTGGATAATAGAGGACACAGAATGTGTGGATCATGTACAGAGGGATACAGTCTACTAATGGGATCAAACAAGTGTGGACAGTGTCATAATAATTACACAATGATAGCTTGGATTGCTCTGTTTGCAGTGATGGGTGTACTACTTGTGGTTCTACTCATTGCTCTCAATTTAACAGTATCAGTGGGTACACTCAATGGTCTATTGTTCTATGTTAATATTGTCAAGTTATATGAGCCAGTCTTTTCAAGGAAAGGAGCATTACCAGTCTTGACTCAAGTCATATCATGGATTAACTTAGACTTTGGGTTTGAGATATGTTTTTACAATGGTATGGACACTTATGCTAAACAATGGCTCCAGTTTGCTTTCCCTCTCTACCTGTGGATCGTTATCATTATCATTATACAATTGTGTAGGAAATATCGTAAGATATCAAGACTGATGGGGCCTCATGCTGTT